TGCCTGGCCCTCTCTGCACCCTGGCCAGCTGCTGTGGGCACCTTCTCTGGTCTCAGCTGGGGATTGTGGGGAGGAGGAGAATATTGAAGCGGTTGAGGAGAGAGTGGAGACACTGGGATGGACCGTATGGAATGACCTAGGGTGGGAACAGGTTTGCAGAACAGGGGAGGTTAGGAAGGTCTCCTTAATGCCAGACATCACACAAGAGGATTTGCATACGTCCTTCCGTTTGCTCCTCCTGAAGTCCCCCTGGTAATAGTAATAATAATTATTACCAACAATAGCAATCCTGTAGCTCACGCTGAGCATGCCTGGCTGGAGCTCAAGGCATTATCTCAGTTAATCCTCAAGACCCCCTTGGGAGTCAAGGACTTTTATTAGACCCTTTACCAAACCAGGAGCTCCAGGCTCAGAGCAGTTAAGGGACTTGTCTAACATCACAGGGGTGGGAAAAAAGGGGTCTCTCCTCCACCTGAGCCTCCCACCCTTGCTTTAAATTGAACGCTTAAGCCGGGTGCGGTGGCTCAAGCCTGTAATCCCAGCACTTTGGGAGGCCGAGGCGGGTGGATCACGAGGTCAGGAGATCGAGACCATCCTGGTCAACATGGTGAAACCCCGTCTCTACTAAAAATACAAAACATTAGCTGGGCATGGTGGTGCGTGCCTGTAATCTCAGCTACGCAGGAGGCTGGAGCTAGGGTTTTGCTGTCACCCAGGCTGGAGTGCAGTGGCATAATCTTGGTTCACCGCAACTTCTGCCTCTCGGCTTCAAGCAATTCTCTGCTTCAGCCCCCCCCCCCCCCCAGTAACTGGGATTATAGATGCACATCACCACACTCAGCCCCATTTTTGTACTTTTGATAAAGATGGGGTTTCACTATGTTGGCCAGGCTGGTCTCAAACTCCTAACCTTAGGTGATCCAGCTGCCTCAGCCTCCCTAAGTGCTGGGATTACAGGCTTGAACCACTGCGCACCGTCTGCCTATCACTTCTCTACTTGGCCTCTTACGCAGGAGCTGGCTCTAGAGGGGCAGTGGAGCCAACTCTCAATCCCCTGAAGGTCCTCCTCCCTCTGGCATCCCCTGATTATTGGCAGCTCTTATGCCCAGCAGGTCTTTTCCCATCCTGCCTGCAAGAATGTGATGTGGTATTCATGCATTCATTCTACACATATGCACTGTGTGCCAGGCACTGGTCTAGGCAGGAGGTACAAAACTAGATATTGTCCTTGTCTGCAAACATCAATCAGAGTCATCCAGTACATCTCTAAATACAAACGGTAAAAGGCCACGTGTGGTGGCTCACGCTTGTAATTCCTGCAGTTTGAGAGGCTGAGGTGGGAGGATTGCTTGAGCCCAAGGATTGCTTGAGACCAGCCTGGGCAACATAGCGGCACCCTGTCTCTACAGAAAGTAAAAAAGTTGCCGGGCGCGGTGGCTCACGCCTGTAATCCTAGCACTTTGGGAGGCCGAGGTGGGTGGATCACCTGAGGTCAGGAGCTCAAGACCAGCCTGGCCATCATGGTGAAACCCCATCTTAAAAAACAAAAATAAATAAAAATAAGAAAAAAAAAAAAAGTAAGTAAAAAAGTTAACTGGGCATGGTGGCAAATGCCTGTGGTCTCAGCTACTCAGGAAACTGAAGTGAGGGGGATCTCTTGGGCCCAGGAGGTGGAGGCTGTGGTGAGCCAAGATTGTACCACTTCACTCCTGCCTGGGTGACAGAGGAGTGACTTGTCTCAAATAAATGCAAACAGTACGGAGTCCTGCGAACAGAGTGTGGGGAGATTTGACAGGGGAGCCAAGTTAAGCTGGCCATCAAAGAGAGCTTCCCGGACCAAGTGATGGTAACACTGGAGATCTGAAAAATGAATAATGAATAGGTTCCAGGTGCTAGGACATCCCTTTCTGGACTCAGCCCTCCCCATCATTTAAATTCCTTTCCCTGTTGTAGGAGTGTAGATCTCATCTCAGATGGGACTTTTTTTTTTTTAGACAGAGTTTCGCCCTTGTTGCTCAGGCTGGAGTACAATAGCACAATCTCGGCTCACCGCAATCTCTGCTTCCCAGGTTCAAGTGATTCTCCTGCCGCAGCCTCCCAAGTAGCCGGGATTATAGGCATGCGCCACCACACCTGGCTAATTTTTGTATTTTTAGTACAGATGGGGTTTCACTATGTTGGTCAGGCTGGTCTTGTACTCCTGACCTCATGATCCACCCGCCTAGGCCTCCCAAAGTGCTGGGATTACAGGCGTGAATCACTGTGCCTGGCTGAAACCTATTTTTTAGGGAGACAGGCACAGTGAATCCCCTCTCCACCCATGAATTGAAACACTGAGTGGAGGTGGGGCATGCCAGAGAAGGCAGGTAGACAACTTAACAGTCACTATTGTTTTTCTTTTGCTTGAGACTGAGTCTTGCTCTGTTGCCCAGGCTGGAGTGCAGTCATGATATTGGCTCACTGCAACCTCCGCCCCCGGGTTCAAGCAATTCTCATGCCTCAGCCTTCCAAGCAGCTGGAATTGCAGGTGCCTGCCACCATACTGGGCCAATTTTTGTATTTTTAGTAGTAACTGGGTTTTGCCATGTTGGCCAGGCTGGTCTCGAACTCTTGACCTCAGGTGATCTGCCTGCCTCCCAAAGTGCTGAGATTACGGCTGTAAGCCACTGTGGCTGGCCCAGTTTATATAATAATAATTATTATTAGACGGGGCTCGGTGTCTCATGCCTGTAATCCTAGCACTTTGGGAGGCCGAGGTGGGTGGATCACCTGAGGTCAGGAGTTCAAGACCAGCCTGGCCATCACGGTGAAACCCCATCTTTAAAAAAAAGTAAAATGAAAAAAAGAAAAAAAAATTATAATTTTTGTTTTTATTTATTTTTTAAAGACAGGGATTCACCATGTTGGTCAGGCTGGTCTTGAACTCCCGACCTCAGATGATCTGCCCACCTTGGCCTCCAAAGTGCTTGGATTACAGGCGTGAGCCACCACGTCTGGCCTAATAATTATTTTTAAAATAGTGACTGCATGCCTGTAGTCCCAGCTACTCAGGAGGCTGAGGTGGGAGGATCACCTAAGCCCAGGAGATGGAGGCTGCAGTGAGCTATGGTTGTGCCACTGCCTGTCAGCCTGGTGGCAGGGTGAGACCCTGTCTCAAAAAAAAGAAATTAAAACAATCTCTGGGCCAGACCTGGTGGCTTACACTTGTAATCCCAGCACTTTGGGAGGCGGAGGCGGGTGGATAACCTGAGGTTGGGAGTTCGAGACCAGCCTGACCAACATAGAGAAACCCCATCTCTACTGCAACTACAAAATTAGCTGGGCATGGTGGCACATGTCGGTAATCCTAGCTACTTGCAGGGCTGAGGCAGGAGAATCGCTTGAACCTGGAAGGCAGAGGTTTCGGTGAGCAGAGATCGCGCCATTGGACTCCAGCCTGGGCAACAAGAGTGAAACTCCGTCTCAAAAAAAAAAAAAATCTCTGTCCTTTTCGAACTTCTTACATTCTAGCATAGGAGGAGTAAGTGATGTAGGTGACATATTGTTAAGTGGTGATAAACACCATGGAAAAAAATAAAGCAGGTGGCAGACAGACAATTTGCAATAGGGAGGTCAGGGAAGGCTGCCCTGGGAAAGTGACAGTTTACGCCGAGACTTGAGCAATTTATGTGGGTATCTGGGGAAGCCTACATTGCTGGAACACCAAGATGCCATGAAATTCAAATCAATAGCACTCTCAAGTCATGAAATTCTGAGTAATAGGATTCTATGGCCATGAAATGCTAATCAATATTTCTGTGGTGCCATAAAATTCTAATCAATAGAATTCTCTGGTTGTGAAATTCTAACTAATAGAACTCAGACTTCTTGAAATTCTAATCAATCAGGAAACTTCCAAATGAAGGAAAGCTACTGAGGTGCAAAAGGCTCAGTGATCAGTGGGGCACGGTGGTGCATGCCTGCAGTCCCAGCTACTATGGAGGCTGAGGCGGAATGATCTCTAGGAATTTGAGGCTGCAATGAGCTATGTAATTGTGCCTGTGAGTAGCTGCTGCACTCCAGTCTGGGTGACAGAGTGAGACCCAGCCTCTTAAAAAAAAAATTAGTGAGGCCAGGCACAGTGGCTTATGCCTGTAATCCCAGCACTTTGAAAGGCTGAGGTGGTGGATCACGAGGTCAGGAGTTCGAGACCAGCCTGGCCAACATGGTGCAACCCCCATCTCTACTAAAGATACAAAACAAATTAGCCGGGCATGGTGGCATACGCCTGTAATCCCAGCTACTTGGGAGGCCAAGGCAGGAGAATTTCTTGAACCCGGAAGATGGAGGTTGCAGTGAGACGAGATTGCGCCATTGCATTCCAGCCTGGGTTACAGGGTGAGACTCCATCTCAAAAAAAAAAAAAAAAAATTAGTGAGCTGGGTATGGTGGCTCATGCCTGTAATCCCAGCACTTTGGGAGGTTGAGCAAGCTGATCACTTGAGGTCAGGAGTTTGAGACCAGCCTGGCCAACACGGTAAAACTCTGTCTCTACTAAAAATACAAAAATTAGGCGGGCATGGTGGCAGGTACCTGTAATCCCAGCTACTTGGGAAGCTGAAGCAGGAGAGTCACTTGAACCCAAGAGGCAGAGGTTACAGTGAGCTGAGATCAAGCCACTGTACTCCAGCCTGAGTGACAGAGTGAGACTCCATCTCAAAAAATAAAAATAAAAATTAGGCTAGGCGTGGTGGCTCATGCCTGTAATCCAAACACTTTGGAGGCCAAGGCGGGCGGATCACCTGAGGCCGGGAGTTCAAGACCATCCTGACCAACATGGTGAAACCCCGTCTTAAAAAAAAACAAAACAAAACACTGTAAAAGGGCCGGGTGTGGTGGCTCACACCTGTAATCCCAGCACTTTGGAATGCCAAGATGGGTGGATCACCTGAAGTCAGGAGTTCGAGACCAGCCTGGCCAATATGGTGACACCCCATCTCTATTTAAAAAAAAAAAAAAATGTGCTTCAGCAGCTTCAGCACTCCTAAAATTGGAACAATACAGACAGGATTAGCATGGCCCCTGTGCAAGATGGATGCAAATTTGTGAAGCGTTCCATATTTTTACAACACACACTGGGGCCTGTTGGAGGTGGGGGAGAGGGGAAGGAGAGCATCAGGAAGAATAACTAAGGGAGGCTGAAGCAGGCAGATCACCTGAGGCTGAGAGTTTGAGACCAGCCTGACCAACATGGAGAAACCCTATCTCTACTAAAAATACAAAATTAAAGCTGGGAGTGGTGGCTCATGCCTGTAATCCCAGCACTTTGGGAGGCCAAGGCGGGCAGATCATAAGGTCAAGAGTTCAAGACTAGCCCGGCCAATATGGTGAAACCCTGTCTCTACTAAGAATACAAAAATTACCCAGGCATAGTAGGGCATGCCTGTAATCCCAGCTACTCAGGAGGCCGAGGCAGGAGAATCGCTTGAACCTGGGAGGTGGAAGTTGCAGTGAGCTAAGATTGCGCCACTGCACTTTAGCCTGGGCAACAGAGTAAGACACCGTCTCTAAATAAATAAATAAATAAAGTAAAATAAAAGAAAAATACAAAATCAGACGGGTGTGGTGGTGCATGCCTGTAATCCCAGCTACTCAGGAGGCTGAGGCAGGAGAATCACTTGAACCCAGAGGTGGAGATTGTGGTGAGCTGAGATCGCACCATTGCACTCCAGCCTGGGCTACAAGAGGGAAACTCTGTCTCAAAAAAGAAATAGTAGGAAATAAATAAGGCTGGGCATGGTGGGTCACGCCTGTAATCCCAGCACTTTGGGGGGCCGAGGCGGCGGATCACAAGGTTAGCAGTTTGAGACCAGCCTGGCCAACATAATGAAACCCTGTCTCTACTAAAATACAAAAAAATGAGCTGGGCGTGGTGGCACGTGCCTGTTATCCCAGCTACTTGGGAGGCTGAGGCAGGAGAATTGCTTGAATCCGGGAGGGGGAGGTTACAGTGAGCTGAGATCCTGCCACTGTACTCCAGCCTGGGCAACAGAGTGAGACCCTGTCTCAAAAATAAATGAATAAATAAAAATAAATAAATACATAAATAAATAACATACCAGGATGCACACTTAGGCTGTGCCAGGCCTCTAGTTACAGATCTTCCTCCAGCCAGGCCTATGGCCTATGTACTCTTCCCACTGCATAAAGTCAGAGGACTCTGGAGTGACAGTGGCTGGCGGTTAGTCCTAATTCCACCCCTTATGAGTATTAGCTAAGA